AAACATCACAAACATAGAAACATTTCATATATAAAAGATATTTACACACTTACAAAATAACCCTTATAACCTTAACACATTTAAACACATAATAAATAACGCACAAATATAAATAAATATATAAATTGAAAAAAATATATAAATTAGAAACTTTACAAACACAACTTTATTTTTGTTTAATGACATACCTCGTAATAAATGTTTAACAACTTGCAAAAACAAACGATCAAACGATCTGGTTTTTTATATAAAAGCAAACGGATTTTTTTTGTAACTTTATTTAAATAAGGTATTAAACGATCTTATTCTTTAACATGTAACATCGAGTTGACCGTGTGAGATGCAAGGGTTTTGAAGATAAGCACTAACTTTATCAAAAGTTTGACCTCTTGCATTTGAAAAGAGCAACGTTTTCTTGAGTCATCATCGCCTTCTAATTTAAAAATTACAGATTAATATACTTTAAATACAATTGACAAAGGACTTGAATTGCGTTATTATTATAATGCATGAATTAAATAAATCACCTGACTTTAAAAGTTACTTTACTAATTCAAAAATAACATAAGGTTTATCCTTTACTACAGAAGTTATTAAATAAAAATTGTTGATCTTATCACTAATTAAGCTGATGAAGCAAAGTTGATCTCATTACTAATTAGGCAGATATTGACAGATCTTTAAGATTTGAAAGTACCTCATTGCGTGAGATAATAAAACTGAAAGGCCAAGTATGGTAAAAAAGTCTGTGTAAAGGCGCACGAATGTTGAGCAGCAGCGTTAAGTTCAGCAATAATATAGAATGATTTATCATTAATAAATATTTATAATTTTACACAAAGTTTATTTCACAATACACACCATTTGTTTTATCTAAAAATAATTTAAATTCTAAAATCAAAAATCTAAAAAATTTATATTTACTATATTAGAAAATAGAAAACATGTTACCATATGTTGCATTTATTTTTAAACTCCTTCTGTTAAATCTGGAGTTTTTCTTTTTTGTGTTTTAAATTTATTTTGCTGCATAAAAAGTAAACTTTAAAGAAGTTCACATTGAAGAATTATGATCAGCTTGGATTTTTCTCTAATAAATTTGATAGAATACTTAGTTGAATAAAAATTACCTAAAAATAAATAATAATAAATTTATCAAAATACTAGATATAACAGTGTATGGTAAAGTATGTAATAATTAGTCATGTTTTCGAAAAAGCTTGGTAAACGATTGAATTCACTTTGGTTTTGTTAATAAGTGATATACAGTACATTTTTGTACTTTAGATTACAAAACCAAAAAAATACCACAAACTTTGTCTACATAAAGCCTTTATATTTTGCTGGATTTATCTAAGTAAAACTAGTTAAAGCACTCTCTCAAGTTATACAAAGCATAATACTGAAATATCAACAAAACCTCAAGAAAAACTACAGCAGTAGCAAAATTTAATTTGAAGTTGTCATTTTGCAAAGCTAACAAATGCTACTTAAATATTTTAAAACTAGAAAATAAACTAAATTTGTTAAAAAACAAAACAAATAACATTAAGACAATTCCATAAATAAACTTGCCAACAAAACTATTACTAAAAAGCTAAAAAAATATAAAACTAAGTTTCTAATGTGAAGACTAAGTTTTTAATGTGAAGACTCACAATTGTGAAATCAAATGCAAGTCTTCGCAAATATATCTTTCTCGTGCTTCACACGTGTTCGAATTTGTGCTATAGAAAAATCAGTCCATACTTCTGTTCCTTTAAGCACTTCTTCTATTTTACTTGCAGAAAGGGAACTGCCTGAGAGTAAATCAGCCCCCACAGTTCGAAGGGTGTTAATATGATTTGGTTTCCATTTGCACATACGACTTTTGGAAAAAAGTGCTCGTTTAGATTCCTAACAATTTATAAAGTAAAATTAACTGAGTTTATTTAAATTAGTGTTTTACAATATTTACAGAGATTTTGAATACTTTGAAAAGAGATTTTGATTAGAATATTGAAGAATATTTTGATCAGAGATTTTGGTGAACCAAATAAAAATTTAAAAATAATCCATTGTAAATCTTTTGCACATAAATTTAATATTAGTGGAAAGTAAAAATCAACTACACTAAAAATGATAGAATAAAGATATATAATATACACTATACACCACAAAACCATATTTCCTGAAATATAATCATATGTATAAAAATAGAAATCATATGTATAAAATTTTGATGAAAAAATCAACTATCAATAATGACTGCCGCAAATATCATGTGACTTATGATTGAAAAAAAAAAATCTGAGTTAGATGCTTTACAAAATGTATAAGTGCATTCTTCAAGAAAAATAGATTCAAATGGAGTGCTCAAACTTATGAAAAACTTATTAAAATAAAAGATATAGGCAATATAACCATATTTATAATATTACTTTTGATGAGAAAAGTTACATACAATTCTTGTCAATAAACAAGATATTTTAAGTTTTACTCAGAAATATATTTTTTTTAAATATATTTCTGAGTAAAACTTAAAATATCTTCATAGTAGATTTCAAACACTCAAAAGTACCAGTCAAGGAAGCCAAAAGCTTTTATTAAATTACATAAAGCAGCAACTGGTTCACCTCTTAAATTCATAAACTTGCACAACATTTTCACCTGTATATTTTGCTTTTAAATTTTTTATTCCAGTCAAATTGTAAGCCAAACATAAAGTTATCCTTTAGAACATATAATCATTTGATCAATAATTTTGCTGTCAAATCACTTATTTATTGATTGCTCCGAGTCGCTAATAAACCATTTAGTTGCAAAAGATTTACCATATGATTATATAAGTTAATTTAAAAACTTAATATGGTTTTTCATGTAAAAGCAACTTTATTTTTTTCTTTTTTATAATTCTAGTGTTAAATTGCATTCTCAATCTTTTATTAAAAGTTTAATTAATAAGAACTATTTGAGAGCTGATTTGAGAGAAATTTGAAATACAAAAAAAACGAACCTTGCAGTGTGGCGAATACCTGCGAATGCTACTAAACTTATTGTAGATTTGTATTGGCGAGGCATCAATATTCAGATGTGAATGAACTTTTTTAATTTCTTTAACAGATGGTGATCCGCTTGGGAAAACCTCTTTCAATACTTTAATTTCATCTGGCAACCAAGCTTTTTTGTGTGGAGTAGTGATAGTAGATATAATGTTTGAGGTTTGATTAATTGTTTCTTTTTTTTCTAATTTTTGATGAACTGTATTATCACCAATAAGTGGATAAGATTCCATACTTGGGTCTTTATTTACAGCATCATCTGTTTTTAATGAAATGTCATTTGGCGTAGTGCATCTGTAAAATTGTTGCCGAATTTCTTCTAGACCAGACTTAACAGATTTTACCATGTTGGGTATGGCATAATGTTCTTCAGCAGTGCGATCACTGTGCATCATTGCTTTTGCGGCTTCTTTCACAAATTTACTGTTTGCTTCTCTTAAATTGGTTGAAGCAGATTTCCTAACAATATTAGCCGATAAATGTTTGGGAATAACGCGCCCATTAAAAATCCCGCATTTCCTCCACAAATTATCAAGGCGTTTGCTAATATCTCCTGGTGAAAGTGGGCGCCCCGACCGAGCAAGAAAAACGTTATCGCACTGAATGGGTAAACAAGCTCTAAACTTTTTTATAAAAGTGTTTACCAATTTATAATGTTCTTCTAGGATCTGTATTTTCGCTGCTCCATAAGTAGAAAATGTTTTATGGTCTTTAACACTTATTACAGCACGATTATCTGAAATAACAGCTTTTTCAAACTGAGTTACAGTCATTCTAGCAAGGACACCTGACCGTGGCGCATTAGAAAATATAAGTATAGTTAGTAAATGGTCTCTTACACAGCAATAATCTGTTGGTGAAAAAGGCAGATTTTCAGTTGATTTTATCATATTTCTGGCATTACTAGCAAATTGACTATTTTCATATAAACTAACTTGCTCAGAAGTAATAAGCATTTCAAAGTCTTCTTCAGCTCGTATGTGTTTTTGTACTTTATCATGAGCTTTATATTTTTTCCTCCATTGATCTAACTTCATAGAAGCTTCACTAATATGTTGGTTAGTGATACCTTCTAAAAATATATTTTCAGCTAAAAGAAAGTCACAAAAATCTTTTAATGAATATAAATATGTTTTTATAGCCCCAGGCTTTATACTTTTCTCAACACAATATGTTGTAAGATATTTATCTCTTACACTTTTACTAATATCTAAAAAAACAATTCTTAAATCATTGTTGACTCCAATGATTTCAAAAATTCGTCTTACGTTTCCAACAACACTTTGTATCAATAACTCTTTTCTGCCTCTATCAGGCCCAATCATAAATTTATGAAATTGTGCAAAAAGCCCTTCAACAAAAGGACCACACTTTGGTTCTAAAATTTCATCAGGTATATATTCAGAATCATCTGACTTTAGTGAATCAGAAAAATCTGAATATTGTTCTAAATCTGATTCATTATTATGATTTTCTTGGTTTTGTTCATATTGTGCACATTGAAGTTCAGTTTGGGGTTGATCAGTTTTAAAATGTTCATCCAAATTAAACTCCAAAACTGAAATTTTTGAGTTTTTATAATGATTGTGAACAAGTTGAACCTGTTCTCTTTTTTCATTTATTTGTTTTGCAGCTGTTGAAATTTTTTCAATGTTGCCATAATTATTAATTTGATTTTGTGAGCTTTCAACATATACTTTTGCATCTTTTAGCAATGTATAATATTGTGAATTTCTGGGTAGTTTATGAACTTTTAAAAGATGTTCATTTAAATGCAAAATAACTTTTGAACAAGAAGATATTGGACAAGTTCGCTTGCGATGATAACTTTTTGATTTTCGTTCTGTTATTAAAATTTTTTTTTTCCTAAGTCCATATATGCTAATTGCAGCAAGAGCTTTTTCTTTTGACCAATAATGGGGTTTTCCCTGCAAATGTCTTGGGATGTTGTATACATTTGCACGTCATTCAGGACACATCTTTTTTTCTCTTTGAATAGTCTTTTTTATGGTTATATTTTCATTTTTAGCAATAGAGAGACAATTTACAACTTCAGGATCAACTTTTTCGTATTCATTTACTTTATGTTTTTCTTTATCACTTGATAAACTAAAATCAACAAAATCACTACTATTTTCACTAACTTCAATAACTATATGTTTATTATCGGAATGAACATGTGTCTCTTCAATAGAAGTTAAACTTGATAACGTAACATTATGTTTTAAACTACTTTCAAGTTCCAAAAGAAATTTTTCAAAAGAAAAACTTTTTATAATATCATCAACACCTGCATAGTTATTACTGTTTAAAGCAAATTGTCTGTGTTGATTTCCATTCAAATGCTGAATATAAAAACAAGTTTATTATTAGTACTAAAACTATATTTAATAATAACTAAATTAACAATAAACTTATATATATGTATGAAAACTGAAGATATGAAATAAAATCTTGAAAATCATCTATGGCTTTATTATTAAAATGAAATCGATAAACTTTTTAACAAAATATCAAATACCAATTTTAAATCTTCAAATTTAACTTCACAACACTCACAGTAAGATTTGCAATTTTTAGTTCTAAAATAAATAAAAAGACACTTGTGTTCAAATATTATTTAAATACATATAAATAAAGAGTAATGTAAAAATTTACCCTGAAATGAAAAAAAAACCTGACTTATCGCTATCCTAACCCAAACCCAGAGGAGATGTGTCAGCAACTCCCATGCTGGTTCTTCCTAAATCAGTCTATATGTGTACTGAAACCCTTGCTTACCCCAAAATCAGTATACTGCCATAATGCTAACAAAAGTATGCAATATCACTTTATATATATATATATATATATATATATATATATATATATATATATATATATATATATATATATATATATATATATATATATATATATATATATATATATTTATATATATATTTGCACACCCACACATGCAGAAACTAAATTGTAATAAAAAACGTACATAGTTTCGTTATTTGAATTGACTTGGAAACTTTCTTTTAAATGAAAGATTAAGGGAAAACCAGATTCAATTTCTTCTTTGTACATTGGCCTATACAATCTGAATAAAAAAATTAATAATAATAATAATAAAAATAATATATATACTTATGTATATATATATATATATATATATATATATATATATATATATATATATATATATATATATATATATATATATATATATATATATATATATATATATATATATATATATATATATATATATATATATCAGGTTATCCTTTTACTCTTTCATAATGGCATTTATATCATTATAAAGAACCGTCCAAATCACACAACTGTGGAAAAACGGATATGAAATTAAAAAAATATATATATTTCAGGGTTACACAAAGTTATAGGATAGGGGTCATCCATAAATTATGCCATGAAATTTTCAAACTTTTTTGACCCACTTCCCCTCGTTACAACATTGTAACACTTTAGGGCATTTCCATTCCAGTAAGTCAAAAAAAAAAAAAAGAAATTTAAAAACAATAAAGATGGAATCCAAAAGAAGATACGTAATATTTTGATTATTCAAAAGAAAAATTATAGGAGATAAATCTTTCTTCATTTTTTAATTATTCAAACTTCACAATAAATATAAACATTTTTCAGGACAAAATACAAAAGTTCTTATTATATGTGCTTATGATGTTTAAAGTTGATTTCCTTGTCCATATTTTTTAATTCTTAAAGATGATGTGTTTTAATATTTCATTATCATAAATTGCAACTAAGTATCATTTTATGCCAAAGTGAAGGGTATTTTGAATTTCCGAACTTGATTTTAAAGTTCTAATTATTTGGGAATAGAAGACTTAATAAGTTTCAATGAAACTGATTTTTTTTACTAAAGTAAAACTGAATTGAATAGTAAAAAAAAATTTTTTTCTAAGAAAATAGGGTTTTCAGAGATTCTCAGAGAAAATAGGGTTCATTTATAAAACTTTAATTTTTTGCTTTTTTTCTGTTCCGTGGGTGACTCCATTAAAAAATTAAGTTATTCTATAATGAAGCAACTAATAGCTACCATACTTTGTATAGGAAATATATACATACATGTCATTTAAAATGTGCATGATTTTTTGGAAATGCTCATTAGTAAGTCTCATATAAGTATTTACAAAACCACTAGCCCCTCCCCCCCCCTCCTAGAGCGCGACATGATTTATGGACAACCCCATATGCAATTCAACATATTAAAATTAAAAAAGTAACCTAGATTTGTCCTCAATTTTAATAAATGGAGGATTGAGTGATTTGCTTGAGACTGTAAAAATAAATATATTTATAAAGTATTTGATTTCACAACAACAACAACAACAAAAAACAACAGTTGAAACAGTAATAAGTTAACAACAAATTTAAACATACATTCGACTTTGCTGGTGTTTTGAACCACCTTTGATTTCTAAAATAATTTTAATGAGTGCATGTATAAAAAAAAACAAATAATTTTAATATATATATATATATATATATATATATATATATATATATATATATATATATATATATATATATATATATATATATATATATATATATATTATAACAACTTGCAAATCATTGAAAGTGGCATACTGACTATAAACTAGATAATAAAGTTACCTCGACAGGTAAGGATTCATTTTTCATAAGTTTCAAAACCTGATAAGTTAAAAAAGTAAAAATTAATTCTATTTCATCAAAAATTCCATGATTATATTACAATTATTATTTTTTGTAAATTTATTTAAAATATTTAAAAATCATGAGTAAAGAAAATTTTGTAAAATTTAAACAATTAATAACCTCTGAAACTTTTAAACTGTGTTGTTTGCTTATCTAATGATACAAAAAAAATATAAATGTTAAATAACGTAAAAATATAAAAATAATTTCTTACTTTAAAAGCTTTTAAACATTCCTGCCGTTTCAATATAAAAACAACAATCTAATGTTATTCTTTAGAAAGCAATTTATTCAACAATTATTTTTACAAGGACAAAAAAAGTAAAAAAAAATTTAAAATCTATATGTAGGCAGCAACATTTAAAAATATCATGGTTTTTATCATGTACAATTTAATTTTCTAGTTTAACATAATTCACACACATAACGCAACAAACAAGTTTCTAATTTTTTTTTTTTTAAAATGACCTAAAATGTTAATTATATTTCTATTTTATTTTAATTTATAAGAAAAAAACAACAAGAAACTGAAGATAAAAATTTTGTTGAAAAATCACATACAAAATGTGAGAATAATTTAAATATCAAGCCAAAAATTTTGTAGAAGAATCATATTACTTTATCATTATCATTTTATCATTAGTTATAATAATTTCACATGATATGAAAATAATTTAAATATAAATATAAACATCATTATTTTAAAGAATTAAATTTTAAAGATTTAATCCCAGAATATTAAAAACATTTTTTTTTTCAAATAACAAATAAAAACACTTACAGCTGGAACGCAAGTTCCATCCGATAGGATATAAGGCTGGAGTAATGTTTTCTGAAAATAATTTGAATTTTGAAGCAGATATTATTAAATTTATTACCCAAAAAAAAGAAAGGTTTTTAAAAAAAAAGCTTATATATTTTTTTAATATATATAATTTATAAAAATAATTTACTTTCTAAATGGTGAAATGGAACCAGAGTCTCAAGTTTGAAAAGGGATGAAGACAACATTAGAGATAAATATACTAATGGATACAATTAGTATATTTATCTCTAATGTTGGAAACAGCGTTTGAGAAATGTATCTCAAATGTTGGATAAAGGGTTTGAAAAATAATGCTTTAAAACAACAAATATACAATAAAAAAATTGTTAAATAAGTGGTTATAATTTGACAATTAACCATAGAACTACTGCAAATATCACATACCTAGAAATCTGATAGGGTCAATATGTACAACTTTTAAATAAAATGGATTTTTTCTATGCAATATTCAAATAAACAAGTTCTACAAATATTCTTTAATATAATAATTTTTTCATTGGTGTTTGCTGAAACATGTGTTCAGCTCTAATGTACAAAATACTTTATTTGACATCAGCCATCTTTGCCTAACTTCTTCTTATTCAGTGCCATGTGTTTCTTCTTATTGAAACTTTTACATTTCTAGAGTGCATTCAAAACATTCAAGCCTTGCATTTGTTAATTTTGTTTTATCGGGATTAATAATAAGATTTTATTTGTGGTACTTTCCAAGTAAATTGTGAGGAGTAAATAGGTGTAAATAAATAATTATCATTGAAGAAAACCTTTAAAAATTTATTCTTATGGAAGATATCAAATGTGTAACTCTCTTGCAAAAAAAAGTGCAGCAACACTTTTGAACAAGAAAATCTCTTCATAAATTACAAACCCACTTATCAAACCATTGTTATTTTTGCTTCAAAACAATTTTGAATCGGAACTTGAAAACTAAGAAAATATGAAATAAGTTAAAATTAAAAGAAAAAAATTTGTCTTTAATTAAAGCTATAATTAACTTGCATTTATATTGGTGTTTTAATGTTAAATAAACAGTGATTATCAAGGTCATACTTTAAAAATCCGGTAATTATTTTGCAAAAATATTTAGGATAGGAGAATATTTTTTAAAAGAATTTTTATTAATTAGCATTTTGATAAGTTGGCATTTAGCTTTCATATGATTTTAATGGAATTTTTTTCACAATTTAATAGAATTTTTTTCAAATTTTAAATTGCATTACTGAAAAGGTAAAAAAAAAAAAAAATTATTAAAATATATGTAAAACAAACTTTATATAAATATATGTTCAAAGATGTATTATTGGAAAACTTTTTGGACATAAGCAATGATGTATAAAAATAAAATGTGGGCTGTAAAAACAGAAAGAAGTTCATTGAAGAGCAAGGTATGATGGTAATATTAGATGAATGTCACTCTAAAAGAAAAAAAAGATGATGATATATAACAGAGAATGAGAATATTGACTGCATCTGATAGATTGGCAGGAAAGATTTCAGTTATTTGAGCATATATAGCAAATATATAATTATATTTGGAAATTAGCATAATTATTAAATATATATATATATATATATATATATATATATATATATATATATATATATATATATATATATATACATATATATATATATATATATATATATATATATATATATATATATATATATATATATATATATATATATATATATATATATATATGTATATAGAGACAGACATGCATGAATATACAATTATCATCCATGTCTGTCCATATATATATATATATATATATATATATTATATATATATATATATATATATATATATATATATATATATATATATATGTGTGTGGTGTGTGTGTGTGTGTGTGTGTGTGTGTGTGTGTGTGTGTGTGTGTGTGTGTGTGTGTGTGTGTGTGTGTGTGTGTGCATGTGTGTGTGCATGTGTGTGTGCATGTGTGTGTGTGTGTCTGTGTGCATTTGTGTGCGTGAACAGTTTATTTAGCATACATCAGTTCTCCACCATAAGTTATCTGCTTTATCACCATAGTTGTATCTAAGCTCCGTGCCAGACTTTATATCTTTAATTGCAAATAAACAAAGACAAGGCTTGTTATCCACAACAACTTTTTTCATATTACAGTTTTGATATTGTACAGAAGTGTCGTTGATATAAGCCCCCATTTGTTTGCTATTAGAGCCATCTAAACTAAATATGTAAATAAGTAAACTAAACAACTAAATTAGAGTCTCCCAAAAAAAAATTAATTCGCAGATGCAGTCCCTCCTAAAGGGTTGTTATGGTCCCATAACAACACCAGAATTTATGTAGATTTTAAAAATAAAATATACAGGCAAAACTGCATAGGCATATTTCGAGCTCTGAAATGTTTTTGGCACCAGTCATATGCTTCCATGATCAATCCTTTAGCCTAATTTAGCAATTGATTAGTAGAATCTAGAAATACATGATTATGCTTTTACTGTGTCATACATTTTTAAAATATTTTAAAATTCTTCTTTCCAAATATTTTAAGGGGAAATGAGGCAAGTTAGCACTATTTTTTATTTAGATGATTTTAAAAAGATGATCAGGTATTTTTTTTTTTGTTTCTTAAAGTAGATTAATTTTAGTTAAGTTTCAGTTAATTTTAATTTTATTTGATATGATTTTGTATTTGTTTTAGCAGAAAAAAAATAAAAAATAAATGTAATGGAAAATAAAAATGCATAATACATCACAGAAATAGATTTATTTACACAATTTATTAAGCTGGCAAAACTGTTAAGTCAAACTAAGTAACATGTTCAGCCATTAAAGAAATAATTTATAAAAACTTTGAACTATCAGTTAATTCACAGGAGTTTGAAAATGTGTGTGAAAAAACATGGAAATGTTATAAATGCCTAAAAGAAAAACATTTCAAGAAAAGTGGATATGCATTTATACTTTCACAAGAATCAAAAGATATTATTTATTAAGCAGAGGATGCTTACATAACAGAACCGAGTTTTTCAAAACAATGAAAATCTTTTGCAGAACTGGGTTTTAAGAAAAAACAAGGGGACACAGGAACTTCTCAATTGTATAAACAACTTTATTACTAATGAGTGCCCAGAGTTGCATGTTATTGGGTTACCTTTTTATGAGGTTTTATTGTTTAACTTTAATCAGGAGGCAAACAAACAAAATAACAAAAGTATTGCTCATGTTGGAAATGCTATTTTTGCAAATCATATTGAAACAATAGATGAATCCATTGCTTTAATGCATTCCCTTACACTAAGTAAGAAGCAAATGAGAAAATTAAGGTTTCTTTTTGACTCAAAAAGCACCTATTTCCCAACAACCAATGAATAGCTTGAAGTAAGAAAAAAACTGCACCTGACAATTAGTAATGTTTTGACTGGAAGAGGTGTTTCTGTTTAGTACAAAGAACTTTGATAAGAGAAACAGAAACTAATCAAGATTTGCTAGATCTTATTGTCCTAACTACTGACAACGCATAAGAAGAATTAAATGCTGAAGGAATGTGTTGTCTGTTTGGAAAAATTATGTATTTACAATACAATGAAGGATTTAAGGTTTAAATGACTCATCAGCAGTCCTGGACAGGAAAGGTGTGCAATAGCACTCTATTCTTAACCATGATTTTTTTTTTTCTGTGACTACTTAACCATGGCTTTTTAGATTTTTGAAAACGTTTTAAAAATGTGCTAAATAAAGTTTAAGGTTACTATAAGATTGTATACTATAAAAGACATTTATTTAAATTATTAAAAGATATTATGTTGTTAAAAAGTGTATTTTTTATGATGAATGTAAATGTTTTTAAAACAATTTGTACAATTAATATTATAAACAGCAACAAAAATGTTTGTTTTAATAAACTTTTTGATGAACCCATAAATTTAATAGTTGAAAACATTTTTTTGTCATGCTATGTAAACTTTATAATAAAATTTGTTTACACTAAGTTAAATGCTTTTAAATAAATCTCATAGAATATTAAATAAAACTTTTATTTATTTCAAAATGTATTTTTTTTTTGATTAATGTAATTTTTTTTAAACAATTTGTATTCTTAATTTTATAAACAATGGCAATAACGAATGCGTTTCAATAAGCTTTTTTTAAAAATACTTTTTGATAATTTAAATAAAGTTAGTTTTTATTAAATGACTGACATCACAAGAGTTGATACCAGGTGGATTGCCAGTTTTAATATATACTCTTGATGATGAAAGCACAAAACTTCTGGGTGTACAAAAGTGGAGCTCAGAGTCAGGAAAGTCAGCAATGGAGGCAGTTCTGGCACTTTTAAAGTCATGGCAATGTGATTTGCTAGTTAAAGGCATGTACTTTAACATAAGCAGATTAATGGAGCCTGCACATTTCTGGAAGCAGCAATCGGTCATGACTTGCTGCGGATGGCAAGTCGTCATCCAGGCTTGGTCGGGAAGCGGGAGCGATCGCTCTCGAATACTGACCACGGAAATTATATTTAGTTGCGTAAAACTGGCCAGGTTTTTTTAGTTGTTTTGAGAACATTTAAGTTTATGTACGAAACAAAAAATTTTTGTTTTACGGACATACATGGAAACATAAAAAACTTGAATGTTCTCAAAACATCTTTGAGCGCAAGAATAAAAAGAATATTTGCGAACACTAAAAACCCGCCAAATTTACGAACAAACTAATTCTATTGGTTCAAAAAATACTCTGATTAAGCGAAATAAAGTTCTAGAGTATTCTGTTGAAATGTTTTAATTCACGATTTGTTACGTTTTGAGATTTCTAGCATAAATTGTTTTAAAAATATTTATTATTTGTTTACAAAAATAACTGTTTTAAATATATATTAAGTTGTCAAAATTTTAAAAGTTTATTATAAATTATAGATTTTATTAGTATATTCTTATATTTTATTTTAAAAGAGATTGTATTCTTTATGTAAATGTAATTTTGTGTATTTGTTTTTTATCATAATGTATCTTTTAAAGCAATTTTCATGATTTAAACAAAGATATACAAAAATAATTGCGTTTTCAATGAAGTTATAATCGTTAAAGTTAATAAAACTAATTATGTAACAAACATATAAGAAGTTTCTGGTTACTAAACACAAACAACGCATACAAAGTAACTCGCGGATGAACAAGCATCGCGCCTGAGGTCACGACAAAACACAAATATATATAGCAAATAATTAGATTTAAAGAAAAGTTTCTAGATATAGGTTTACTAACTCTAATTATTTTCGCTTAAATTGCCATTCTTAAAACTCGTTATACTTTTTGCTGCTTTAAATACTTATTAAAATTAAAAAGACCACTCACTAAACATCATCAGCGATATTGTGAAGCAGTTTCGCCTCCTGGTCATTAAGTATTTTTAACCTTTTTAGTTGATTTCTATCTTGATAATTTAATTCCTATAGTAATTCAATGATTTAATTATTTCATTTGTTTATCTTACTAAGAAGAATCGCTTCAAGTATGTTAAACTTTTCAAACTACGCGAAGCATAAAATAGGTATTAAAAAAATTAACTTTTTTATTTATAAAATAATTTAGATTAAGTAAAACTGAAACTTGCAAACTTAGTTAAATAAAGAATATTTATTTCTCTTTTAAACAATCGTAAGTTGTTACTTTATATAAAAAACATCGCATAATTTTATTTTTTTTGTAATTGTCTCTCATCGGTCCAACTAATCTTCGTCGCTTTTTTTTTTTGCTTTTTAAAATGTTCTCAAAACGACTAAAAATCTGGCCAGCTTTTCGCAACTAAATATTATTTACGTGGTCAGCAATCGAGAGCGATCGCTCCCGCTTCCCGACCAAGCCTGGTCATCACATACTTGAGGTTCATTTGAAGTGTCTCTGCCCATCAACTGGGCCTGAATTTTGATTTTTAAGAGGTTCAAACCTTGGTATACCATCAACCAAATCCTCAATCAACACCTTTGATCTCTGCAAGTGACAAATTAAAGGAGTTCATTGCTGAGCTTCAACTTTTTCAGACACAAGATGATTATCTAGAATTTCTTTAACTTGCAGCATTGATAATTCGATTGAATTTGAACAGTTCTGCAGCTCTACAAAAACATAGTGCTCTTCACAGAGCATGATGGATGGCAAAGGCTAACTAAACGACCAAGTTGCTTCTTTATAGCAATGAAACTGTACTAAAACTAACGGCTTGTGAATTACAGGGAATTCAGAGATTCAATAGATTAATAGTAAATGTATATCTCCAATCTTGAATGTCATGCCGAACAGCAGCTAATGCACCATTCAATGACATTTTCCTTGTTCAACAGTTATACAACTACAATGTTGCCTTGCAGAAAACAGGTCTGAAAATGATGGTGCAACATTCATAGTATTTGAGTCAAAAGCTAGCAACTCTTGCTCTGTTTTCTCAGAATGTATCTTGTGAAGAGAAAGCACTGCTTGTGTCAAAAATAAAAGATGATCAAGGATCGTATTTGATTAATTCTCTTTAGAGTCTACCTTGTACAACGTCTGAATTATCAGTATCTTGAAGCTTTTTCAGAACTACTGCCATCGATGATGTTTTCTCAATATTCCTTTGAAGAATAGTCAGAAAACCAATTCTACAAGAATGAATTTGAACCTGTCAAAAATTAGCCTTTGCCAATGACTGTGCTGAATATGGTATTGCACTTCTCCAGAATTTTAATGCAACAATAACAAAAGATGAAGAACAAAAACACTATCAATGAAAAGCTTAGAGACTTTTCAAAATGCAATCATGATGATCTTCTGGACATGTAGAAATAAAGAGTGTTTAGTGTAAACTGTAGAAATAGACAAGGCTGACAAATATGTAATTACAACTAATTATGTATCATTGTTAAATGTTTATCGTATAACATTGTGACTATTAGAGTCACCTAAAATGTTATATGACTGTCACAGTGTGTCAATGTTTAGCAATTGGACTTGCGCTTGCAAGCAAAGTTAAAAGAAAATTGTTTTTTCAAAATAGTTTTTTTTTCGAGTTTTCCATCTCAGTTCACACAAACTAAATTTGTTAAGAATTATACATTTCAAGAATATTATTCTATATTCTACTAATTATCAGCTTTTTAGTTCTACAAATATCAGATTAATGAATCCATATTGCATGAAATAATACATAATAAACATTTTAAACTCCAGAGACACCAATGCAGTTTTACCTAATTTTCAAAACTTTCATGATCATTGGGGAACCCCTAAATATAACTTTAAAAATCTGCCAATATTCAGGTAATGTTGTGGGACCATATAGAAACTTTTACGAGTGACTGCATTAAAACTGTCAACAACAATTATAAATGTATTCTATAAAATAGTGCTCAATGTTCTTAAAAGAATAGAGCAATAAATTAGTAGAAATCACTTATCAACTTCAGTTTTTATATACAATGTTTTGTTAATAAAGACTCATTAAAACTGAGTTTTCATTTACAAAAAATTTTGCAAAAAAACTAAAAACGATAAGTGATTTAAATATGTATATATATATATATATATATATATAAATATATATATATATATATATATATATATATATATATATATATGTATATATATATATATATATATATATATATTATATATATATATATATATATATATATATATATATATATATATATATATATATATATATATATATATATATATATATATATATATGTATATATATATATATATATCAGGGGCGTGTCTAGGGGATGTCTGCTACGTCATTGGAAAACCCAAAAAAGTTAAATAAAAGTTTTTCAACTTGATTATATTGTTGAAAAAAAAAGTTTTACTATAACTATTAAAACCAAACTACAGCAAAACTAAAAAAATTATGCACAGTTATTATCTGAAGCGGTTGAAAAAAAATTAAAAATCGGAAAACATAATAATATTTCGGTTTCAAAGTTTTGCGATAATTTAAAAAACGATTACTTTATTTTGACAGAGGTTGAACTAACTTTTGAGTTGTATAACTTAATTAAAAACTTGAATTGACATACCTTATTTTATTTTGTTATATAAAACTTTATGTTTTAAATATTTTCTTTCATTTGTTAAAAAAAAATCAAAATGCCTTTTTTAGTCAAAACAGATTTCGGACTTCCCTTCAAACATACACCCTGAGTAAAATTTTTATGAGGTTTTATTGTTTAACTTTAATCAGGAGGCAAAATTAGTTAGTAACAATGAGTATACATTAAAATATATCAATAGACATCCCTAGTTTTATTACATTAGACTACATATCATTTTAATAACTTGCATTTTAAAAAAAAAAACATCATTTCCTTTAAATTTGAAATGTAGAAAATAAAATTCGGACTTCCCTTTCAACATACACCCTGCTTTATTTGTACTTTTGTCAATTTTTTTAAATTATGGAATTTCATGGAACATAAATATGGCCGTTGTCAGTTCAAAATGTCGCCTAATTTGCAAGTTTATATGGCATTTCAAAGAAAAAATTAGTCCGTTGGAGAAAAACATCATTTCCTTTAAATTTGGGCAAATAAATATTATATTAATTGTGTGGAATTTTTGTTATCACGATATTCTTAGGATATAAAAAAGGAAGACAAAGTTATACAAGAAGAAGCTGTATATAATTGCATCGATAAAATTTAGTCTTTCTTAGTTTTCTTTGTTGATCAAGCATTTGTGGCAAAAAATTTTATATCCAGATTTTTTATCAAGTATAAATTACTATTTAACCAAATTATTTACCCTTTATGAGAATAATGAAAAAAATTTTATATCCAGAGTTATCAAGTATAAATTACTATTTAACCAAATTATTTACCCTTTATGAGAATAATGAGAATTATTGTCTCTATTCTTTTCAAAGAGCATTGTTACTTAAGTTATGAAAAAATTTTAATTGATTTTTCTGCCCTATTTTACTCAATATAGACTTAAAGGAAAAACTTATTTATTTAGTGTCTTAATAAAATCTATTACTGATTTTTCTTTGGATGTTATGAATTGTGAAATCATGGCATAGATGCTTTACAAAAGTTTTTTATTTATGTAGTTTTCTGTATCAAAGAGTGTCTTTAAATACCAATGTAACATTTAATCGTGCAACCTCTGCTGAAGTTAATAACAAACTTTGATTTATTTGTTGCACTGTGTAATAACACGCAAGCAAGTAATAATATTTTTTATAGTTTGAATCTTACACAAGTAATAAAAGATTTTATCTTTATACTTAGAAGTATTGTTAATGAACACCTTTAAATATACTTTGAACAAGTCTAAAAATTGCATTTCAAATTATTAAATTGGTTATCACTGTTCCCCTGCTAAACCATCTGAATACTGAGTTTAACACAATGTTTGATGATACAACTTTTAAGTGTTGTAAAGCACCTGTCCTTTAGTTTTTTCATTCTTATCTTTAGTTTCTTCAAAAACCAATTGCAGAAATTCAGTGTTCTTGCTATACTAGCTGGAAAGACCACATATCTCTATGTGCCTTTTATTTAACCAAAGGATTTATTAGGCTTACTTATTATTGCCCAACCAAAGGTTTTCAAGTGAGTTTGGCCTGTGGGAAATTTAGTTGAATTCACTTAACTGGCTAAATTTCAGAAATGAACTCCAATTTAATAATACTGAAACATTACATGCGACAAACTTTTTTAAGAGAATGGTAATAAAAAGTTGCAAAGCAAAATGGTAGAGAAGGTCTAAATCGTTTAGTTTAGCTTTTCACAAAGAGTTGTCTATAGAAAGTAAAAAAATTTTTAACAAGTTTTTTTTAAATATTTATGAGTTTTGTTTTAAATATAATTTCAAAAAATGTTTCAGCGACGTTATTAGTCAAAGATATAACCAAAAATATATAAAAAGATATAAGCAATAAAAGTCCGAAACAGATGTTTGTTTCAGTGACTCAAACAATTCTTTTTCAAACAGCTTTGAAGCATTCAAAGCTACTCTTCTAATAAGACTACTATTCAAATAAGGCTACTCTTCTAATAAAGCTACTCTTTTAATAAGGTTACTCTTCCAATCTTCTACTTGTTAGCTTTCCTTTAGAAACTTTTGATTTTTAATAAATAAAATTTAATCAAATCTTAACCGAATCGAAAATATCAGTGAAAATGTTTAGTTATGTTTAATTATATATTTGACGCAATTGTATTTTATTTTCGAGAGTGTAAAGTTTGGATCTTTTATTAAATAATTGGAAGCTCTGTTATCATGCACACTTATATGCAATTCAAAATAAAAGTCCTAGTTAAGCAAAGTTTTTTTGCCAAAGGGATTCCAAAAAATAGTACAAGTTAGTAATGGTCCAACTTAACCAGGGTATGACTTAAGCGGATGATTTTATAGTAAACTGATTTTATAGTAAAGAGAATTCAAGGGGAGTTGAAAATCCATCTGACTCAGTAAAAGTTCGACTGATCCAGGGTATGAGTTAAATGTACAGGTCTTGCAATGAATAAAAACTGCATAAGCACGACCTGATTTTTGACGTCATTAAATTTGCTTTTCATATTTATTGACTGAAGCTTTTTATGAACTACACCAATTTACTTAATTACCACAAAATTATTTTTAATCAACAATGTAGAAATGTTATTATTTAAAAATGTTTTGGAATTATGTTTTATAAAATGGCATATGATTACATAATTTTTTTGCGATTATTGAGGATGTTTGTGGAAATTCACCTTACATCAGTAGATACCGGGTAACAAAACCAGATTATAAACTCATCAAGCTATTGACGTTCTATTTTTTGATAGTTGTTCTTGAGCATGCTTTGTTGATTTTCGTAACTTGTAATAAAAAAGCGATTGTTATTGTTTTCAAGTAATTTTTTTTGAGTTTAAATTGCTGTATTTTTTTAATTGAATTAAGTAAAATATGTTTTAATATTATTTATTCATATAAGCTTTCAATGTATCCTTTTATTTTTTTATTTGCTCTTACCAATATTTAAAATGTTTCTTCAAAATGACTCGTTAATACCTTAAATACATCTAACATTAGTTAATAAATATTTTAAAATCTATGGAATAATTTTAAAGTCTAACAAACCCACTTAAAATACTTATTTAAGTTAAAAATCTAAAAGAAAGTATTTTCGTCCAATTTAATCAACAATTTTGCTATTGTTAAATGGTTTTATTTAATGCTAGCATAAAAAAATTTAAACTTTTTTTTTAATCTGACTTTTTTCTACTTGTAAATAATGAGCATATTCAATTTTTTTGTAATTCCAACTTTTATAACAACTGTGTGCAGTTTTTAAAACATCAATTACTTTATTGAATGTTAATAATCGTAAATAACTTCATCAAAATTCCACTTAATAATATATTTAAATATACTCAAACAAAAAAGTTTTTGCTTGACGTAAATAGCCCTAGCGACACATAAAAACGCCCTTGGACAACCTAAAATCACCCGACGCTTTATCTCAAGGCCTGACTCTCTCTCTCTCTCTCTCTCTCTCTCTCTCTCTCTCTATATATATATATATATATATATATATATATATATATATTTGCATTACTTGTATCTTTTGTATTGTATTTGATTAAAACTAAGTTAATAAATATAAGGTAAAGCTATAGCTGTAAGAATCTGTGTAAACAGTGAATAATAGTAGATTATTCACTATTATTGTGAAGTGCAAATATATAACAGTAGATATTACACTCAGCTATAACAACTCAGTTTTTTGTTTTGTTTTGTTTAAACAAACAGTTTATGCAAAATAATTTTCATATTAGAGGGTTAGGCACCTTTTCCACTGAGCCCCTCACATATAATATAAATACATATGCATGATATATGATAATCAAATAAAGTAAAATAACAAAAGTATTTATGTTGTATTTGCTTTACTTACTAAAACTTTTTTCCGCAATGAGCAATATTTGAAAATAAATAGTTGTTAGTTTGACTATTATTTGGCTCTTTATCGGATAAAATGCCATCATATTCGCATAAAAATTCTCCAGAAGATAGGTCTTTTGTCACAAAGACACCAAAACCTAAAAATGAAATTTAACGAGGTTTAAAATTTTATCTAAACTCACCCAAGGTGGCACTGTATGTTTCTAAAAAAAACTTGGGAGGAAAATTTGCAAGGTTTTTAAAGAGATTTTATCAGGAAACTTAAAAAAAAATCTAAATTTTAGGAGATTTTAGGAAATTGAAATAAAATCGCACTAACCAACTGAGCCAGGGACGAACTTAGACCTGTTTTAGTACTGCTGGAGCGGTATGGGCGCCCAAAAAAAAGCTCCCATAAATTATTTTTTCTTTTAATTTTTCTTTTGCTTTTTATTAGTTATAAATAAAAAAAAATTGGTTTTAAATGCAATAGTATATAAATAACTTTCACTTTATTTTAGCCACATTTTTTCTTCCAAGAGTCCCGCTTTAACAGGGAAACTCGTTTAAACGGGACATTTTTTATCATGTAATTGCATTATCTTGCCTAAGCGAGACAAATTTTTTTTATAAAGTTGTCAATATTGATAACAATTCAATTATAACTGCATAAAAACAATAGTATAAATAATTCTTTTCAAGAAGCAACTACTTTTTCGTTAAGAAAATGTTTCAAAAATACAAATTAGTAAATTTTTGATCAAATAGAAAGTTTTTTTTAATAAAACAAAACAAAAAAGATGTTTGTTTATGCTTTGTTTTTATATCAAAACAAAACAAAAAAAACGTTTGTTTTATAAAAACAAAATAAAAATTCATTATTTTTTTAAATTAATAAGAACACTAGTTAAACTGTTAGCAGACTATTAACTATAGTCTACCATTGTCATTAAATTAAATTTGCTTTTCATATTTATTGACTGAAGCTTTTTATGAACTACACCAATTTACTTAATTACCACAAAATTACTTTTAATCAACAAAATAAGAATACTAGTTAAACTGTTAGTAGACTATTAATTATAGTCTACCATTGTATTTTTAACATCTTTTTTAACATATAAGCCTATAAACCTCCAAGCCTCGACAATTTTTCTGCCATTTTTTTTTAACTTTCTGGAAATTTTATTGAGACTTTTTTTACATTTAATCGATTAGAGTTTTTTAAAAACTGGAAGTTTTCATCTCAGCAAAGAAGGACATATTTCCTCATATAATCAGGCCCTAAGAGTGAAGTGCTTTTGATAATGAATAAACAAAAGTAAATTTCTGTTTTAACAACTATCACACAAATTTAATTTTGGAATGAATGAACTTTTAATCTTTAGCTTGCTATTTTAGTTTACTTGAGGAAAAAGAAAAAACGAAACATAAACTATTTCAGAAAGTTTTGTTTCTTTTCCATATTCTTTTTGACTTAAATAATAATAAAAATAATGATTACAATAACTTAACAAAAGTTTTATTAAAATCTATTTATTTTTAAAATTCAACGTTTTTAATGTTTAAATAAATTCTAAGTAAATGTAACTTATTTATTAAACATAATTTTATATATATTATTAAGTATATTTTTTAAACATAATATGGTTTTTAATCAAAAAAATATAACATTTTTAAAACTACGTTTACCGTAAATATCTCTTTTATAATTATGTTCAATTTTATAGGCGCCTTAAAATCACTATAAAAATTATTAACCTTTAGTAAAAGTTAAATGAACAGATTTGCTATTATTTAAATCAAGATTTTAAAATTAAAATAACAGTAAATATGTTTATTAAATCTGGATGTTTTATATTCGAATACAAGATGTAAAACTATTTTGTTAATTTTTTAAAATACTATGCGATTCAATTTATGTAAAAAAATTATGCAATCTAAATATTGATTAAAAATTGTTTAAAGTATTTAAACATTTAATTACTAATTACTTAAATCATTATTAACTACTAAAACTAAATTTACTAA